AAAAAACTCAGCTTCTCAATCAGATGACTCTGCTATGCCATATTATTAAAATGCAGAGATTGGTCAGGGAATTTTTTTGAGCCAGAATCCAGATTCACAAATGCTTTTTGCTTAAGAAGGAGGCTAGGCTTTAAGAATATATCCCTTCTTGCTTGGTTTGGTAACATCAGGGCAGAGTTTTCACCAACACCAGGTGCTTGGCATCATGCAGGAAGCTGCTGAAGGCTCGAGTCTCTGTTTTACAGAAGCTAGTGGGTATTTTTGAAGTCTGATGTGTTGCCGTGGTATTTTGGTGCTGAAAAAAATCTCCAGAGCAGTTAATTAGGGGTGAGATAAGAAAGGGTTTATTTTGCCAAGGCTAAGATGTTACAGGACACGCGCCCAGGCCGTGCCTGAGATGTTACATTTTATAATACCATCCATCCAATCCCAGATGTGTCCACCCTGTGGCCTTTACTCTGGTCCACCCCGGGTCCACCCCCTTAAAATGGGTCTGGGGTGTATTTCGGGACCCCTTATTCATCCCATCTTTGTCTTCATCAGAGCACAAAGGGTACATAGTTACCTAATTCTTGACCGTATTCTGTGGTTTAGGCCCTGATATGCTGTTCTGCCAACAATCTAGGCCTTGCCTTGACAAGAGACTAAACATTTCTGCTGTGTTCAGAAGTAGGATCGATATAGGGAGCATAGAATGGGGTAAGAGGGTTAAGGAATGTATAAACAAGGGTACTGGAGAAAGGGAAAGGGACAAGGGACAAAGAAGGGAGGGGTTGCTGCTTTTAAAACCTACTTATAAAACTTACAAGTCTTACAAATATTAGAAAAATAAAAAACCATTAGGGGCTTAAGGCATCAGATGTCTTCTGAAAATATGTCCGTGTTGTTCTCCAGCAAGATATGGAGACCTGAGGATGTCACTGGAGCATACTGGGGAAGGCTCTTCCCCCAGCACAACTTCCCCTCTCTGGGCTGCAACCTCAGAGGCTCTCCCAGTACTTTTTTTCCACCCATGTAAGTGAGGAAGTTGTTCACAGGCTCTCAGTCCCGGGCTGTATTTAGGATTTCTGCAGGGGATTTCTAAGGACTACAGTTATCAGTGTTAAAGACTTGGACAGGACATGTGTATTTTTTTCCAGAAGTCCTGCAGGAAACCTAAGGAGTCCATTTTCTTATAACTGTCAGCCTCCTGAGAGTGGTGTTAGGATGCATGTACGTGCTCTGCTCCTGAGTGAGCACAGTACAGGACATTTTCTGCCACCTGCTCTGCATTTAGTGTCCACTGAATACCTTTGTATGTCCAGTTGATGAGAAACTCCTCTGTGCAGTTGGCAGCGCTCATCCACATAGCCTGTGGTAACTCAGCAGAGCAAACGCCTCTGCATGAGGTCCAGGGCTGTACCAGCACACCGCCTTCTGTGGGTGGCAGCTGTGTGAGGAAAGGCTACCCTGACAGGGCACGTAAAGACATCTTTGTTCAATAAAACCCAACAGTTGCTTGGCAATTAGTGAATAAGGGAACTTCACAAGCCAGGGCTGCAGCCAGTTCTCCATGTTTAATAGCTGTCAGTGGGTCCAGTCTACATGAATTTGTCTAACACCTTTTTTAACCCATTCATAATTCTGGTCTTTGCAACATCCTGTGGTGATGCTTGCATATTTATTTGTTTTAAACTTGATGTCTGGACATATCGTCGGATGACCATTTCCCTTCCTGCCAAAGCCACTTGGCTGCACCTTATTTCTTCAAAGAGGGCTCTGATGCAACACTGTAAATCGTTATGGTCAGAAAATACTCTTTTGAATGCCATAGTATTCTTTCAAAGCTCTGGACTGTATGTGGTCTTTTAAATACAAAATGTAAGCCTAAATATTGAAGGGTATTTTCCCTTCCCCCCCTCAAGTGGGCTGGAAAGGAGCATATTGTCCTTGGATTGTTTGCAGAAGCTGGAGTTCAGTAGCTGTCATTTGTTTGGCTTCCCCCCCACACCTCCAATACTGATGATATCCTGGAAGACAGAAGGGGGATGGGGTTTGGATGGGCTGGGGCAAGTGGAGTGAGGTTTTGAAATTGCTAGCAGTGATGTTTTCACATCCAAAACATCTCTCTTCTCTCATTTCTTGAATGTATTGTGCTCATTTATTATTTTCTTTGACCAGAGGCCAACAAACAGCAAGTAACACATATATATTTTGCAGAACAAAGCTAGGGAGTGGTTTCTGGTATAGGGCAGATGAAGTCTTAGAGAATTATTAAGGTGTCTGTGTTCACCCTACATGATAGAAGGGGAAGAATCAACACTGCAATCACTGTTCAGAAACCATCCAAAACAAGTGCAAACCTTCCAACCTTTAAAAAAGAAAGTGAAAATTAATCTGAGCAACTTTAAATTTGGCAAATATTTTTGAAGATCTGAAACAGAGTACTACAGGGTGCTCAGGATGGAGCAAACTGTGGTTCATCATCCAGAAATTTTGGTAAAAGACTGAAATTCACTGGACTCTGTGCTCCTGAATGTGTTGAAAGATTAAGAGCCTCATCCTATGATACTTGGAGACAGTGGAACTTTTGACTTGGTCAAACAAAGGTCATCAATAACGGATTTAGGTTTCCAATAAAGCAGATGTGCTGTCCTACAAGGTAGGGGCAAAACACCTCTGTCTAATCAAGCAGATCCTGTTGTTCTGGCAAGATGTCAAAGCTCATGTCTCCAGGGAATACCCATTTCCTTGCCTCAGGAAAGCAGTCTCCCAGCAACCGTGGCTGCCCACGAGAATATCCATTTGCAGCAGGCGTGGAAGTCATTATCTACTACAACCATCCCATCACAGTGAATCCACATTTTATTTCTACATAATTCATCTGCTGCACACCCTTTTAAACCAATGAAGGGGGCCATGAAACTTGCCCTCGAACAGATAGAGCACAGCAAAGTGAGCAGCTCAGGCAAGCCGGGCAGGGAATGCCATAGCTGCCTGCCTTTTCCAAAAGGGAGAAAATTCCTTTTCTCTGATATGCCATGCTGGACCCTCATGGCAGTAGACTATTAATAGCTGCAGGTCACTCCAGGAGAATGCATGAGGAGGGTGATATGTATAGCATACACACGGGTTTGCATGACAAGGGAAGCGGCTGTTAGTTAGCCAGAGGTTGGCTTCACCTGGGTCTCAGTTTCTGATCTCACAATCTTTGTCCTCATGAACATGTGTGCTTGGAATAGGCTGTACCAGCGGTTTCAGTCCCTTTGGGGTTTCAACCTTGAGCTGTTCAAACCTGCAGACATGAACTGTTCAAAACTGTCTTTAGCTATTTGTTAAACCAAGAAAGGGAAAAGAAAGAAATGTCACCATCCTGACATGCAGCCCAGTGCATGAGTTTGTCCTGAAGAGAGCTGTCTATACATTTGTCTCTACATCAGAGAATCTAAGTTATTTTTGTTGAGTTACTTCTTATGCCAAGGAAAACAAACCAAAGGGCTCCACACCCAGCACTGATTTTGTATAGTGGTGTCGTGAATGTGGACTGAGTTTAATAAAACAGATCTTTATTGTGCTTATCACTTATCTGGCAATATCTAGATTAATATTTGAGGTGACAGGCCATATAATCCATAAAAGGCAAATTATACATCCCCATAGTCTCATCAAAATGAAACCTCCCTGTATAATGAGTAGAGTAGCATAGATAGGTAGTAAAAGTGAATATGTCTCTCTGATAGTTAGAAAACAAAGCCCTTCCTCACCTCCCTTTTAATAGCAGTGGCTCTGAAAATGGCATTAGTTTTACTGTTGTCCTTAAGGCTAAAAGGAGAGGCACATGTGACTCTTTGGTCTTTCAATTAAAATGAACTTCACTGCAAATCGTTTGTTCTTTTGTTGTCTTGCCAACTGGGTGGCTTCAGGAGCTTGAATAATACATGTGCAGCATTGTACAGTAATTGTTCCCCACCCTCAAAAATTCACAGATTATGAATTCATAGACTGTTTGTGCAGCTGATGGTGGCTTTGAGCTTCTCCATAGCTAGGGAAGACCAAACCCACTGCAGATTGCATGTATGCACCTTCAGTGAATCTGGATTTTATATTTATCCTTAGCCTGAGATAACAAAAAATACATCAACATCAAGCCTACTACAAAGGGTACATCATGACAGCAGGATATGAAGCCCAGATTTATTCTGGGTATCCTTAAATGAAGGGAAATCTAATTGAGGTGACTGGTTCAAGAACATTCCCTGAGCTACAATACCCACAGCCAGTGCAAGGGAGACCACTCCAGAAGCAATGAGAATGGGATGCATCACCCTGCAGGACCTCTTTTTCTATCTTGGGAGAAAAAAATAGAGCTCTTAGGGTGAGCAGTCAGTAATACAGAGTAAAGGTAATGCATTGAGTTGACATGTACCAAGACCTGTGTGTCTGAAAGTGTTCAGGTCCTGCCAGAGAGGACTATAGACCTAGAAGTGGCAAAGTTGCTGTTGCTGTATTGCTAGGGCTGCTCAGACCTGGGTGGAAGAATAGTCTTGCAGCTGGAGGTGGGAAGGAAAGAGGGAAAACAGCGAGGTAAAGGCAGAGGAGCAATTACGAATAATGAAGGTGAGTGAAGGAAGGAGAAAATGCAAGAAAAGCTAGAACAAAGAAGCTGAAAAGGACACAACACAGTGGTAAGAGCACTTTATAGCAGTGTACATATCTGCAAACCTGCTCTGAGCAGTTCGTTTATTCCTCTCTCAGCAGAATGCACCGGTGCTTCAGTTCCTCACCGCGGAGCGGCTCTAATGAACGCTCTTCCGTCCTAAACACCTCCCATGGCATATGCAGGGTACGCTAACATGTTTGTACAGCTTTGCTTAGCAGTGAATAGATCTGCCCTAACTTCAAAATACATCAGTGGCATGTAGCCTCAGGACCCCCTGTATCTTAAACACATCCCTGGTGGCAAGCCAGATTTCACTGTACACAAAACAATGCTGCTTTCCTTTTTTAGGGCACTGCCTTCACATTCACCTAGAGGAGTTGCAGCCACCTACAGCACATCAGCCAGATGTGAGCCCACAAGGAACAGAGGTGTTTTTGTCACAGGTGTGTTTGTCCCTGCACATCATGGGTGTAGGTGTCAGCCTCTGCACTGAAAAGAATTTATATTTTTACTCTTCTTTTAAAAGAATGTTACTCTCTGAGAGAAATTCAGTGCCTGGGGGCAAAAGGAAAGGATTGTTTTGGTGGTTTTGAATTGAGCATTGTCTCTTTGCGTGCCATGGTACTCCAGTTTCCCACTTGTGGGCTCTTAGCCTGCATGCTCGTGCCTTTCAGCAGACCTTCCTGGTAGTAATGCAATAGTGAAAAGGATTAGTGATGTCTTTCAGAGCGTTGGAAATCTGACAGAGTATTTCTCTGTCTGAAGCAATGAAGTTATGCCTGTATGGAGGTCTTCAGGACCTCCATACCTCCATACCTCCAGGTATTCGTGGTACAAAAATTGGACAGAAGTCTCAATCCTAAATTTCATTCCACAGTATGAACACAGGTGCTCCATGAAGGATTCCTTTAGGATGTATATTGCACATGAAGGAGTAAATTTTACACAGAGAAACTGATCTCTGCTGCCACTGAGCACTGGGCATGAGTGAGGTGTGAGAAGAAATGGTACTGGGGGACCTGCAACCTGTCTGCTCTTGGCTGCTTGACAGCCCTCAAGGGTCACTGCCTCTGGAGTATAGTTTGGAGCAACGCCGGGTCACATCTTGAGTGAGGGGATACAGGAATCTCCTCTTCAATTCCTTCACTCCTCTAGTGCTCAGATCTGAATGCCAGAGGTCTGAGGATTTGAAGAAACCATCACCCATTCCCAACCTCATAAATCCACATGGTTACTGATTTTAGGAAAGCTGCTGATGAGTATCTGTGATAGGAGGTGGTGGCTTCAGAATGAAGATTTGCTTATGCAGAGTATCTGAGGAAACCTTAATCTGAATTAACAACATATGTGAATTGAAAGTGGATTATCAATGTCACATAAATGGATGGATTCTTTAAATTCTTTTCTTCAGAATTAAAATTATTGTTACTTGTTTCAGTATAATTATGAAAGAGAATGTTACAGGTATGTAATGAAATATAACATACTGACCATAAAAGTTAGTCCCAGTTATTTTTTTGTGTGTCTCCCAGCAGGGGAGGTTAGAATACAGTCCTGAATTTTTTTTTAGTAGGAAACTTGTATTGTCTTTACTGCGGATTTTGATAACTCATTCTGATAATGTAGGAATCTGTTTTTATTATGATTGTACTATTTTTAATATTAGGATATGAAATCTCTGAATAAGCAATTAATTAATCCTCACCATGTCCCTGTGAGGTTGGTAAAGGGTTTGTAGCAGTTGCTTCATTCATTGCTTTGCTATGTCTGCTTTTAATGTGGAATACAGCAAGGCAAAGCAGTACTATAAGATATGGGAGGGAAGATGAAAATCAAATCTTATTGAATGCATGCAAGAAAAAAATGTTACTACCCAGCTCAGAATTTGGTCATGCCACCATGATGTACTTGCAAGAAAATATCAGGGGAGCTTTAGCGATTAGGGCGTCTGTTTTATGTCTAATCAAACCCACAGAACATGTAAGGCTTCCACACACACTGCACTGTGGTGAGAACTGGCTTAATAGCAGGGTGTAAATATCATAAAAATAATTGTAAATATGAAAAAATAAATCTAACTGATTTCCTTTTATTTGTAAATAGGATATATCTATTTAAATTACATTTCTTAAAAAAAAAAAAGAAAAGAAAGAAAATTAAAAAAAAAAACCTCTGAGATGATTGCTCTCTGAAGGCTGACTGTCATAACCTGCACCAGTATTGCAGTGCAAAGTGTTGCAGTGCAAAGTGTTACTCCTCACAGTCCCTTTTTTCCATACAGGCAGCTTCTTTCTTTTCCTCAGCAGAAGGTTTATTTAGTACTCAATGATAACTCTCATGTTTGTCTTATTTCTTTGAATGAGCACAAGCACTGTGCTTTTGTTCTTTTCCTTTTCCAGTGCCTTTTTGCTGATTTTCTCTGCATGTATCTGAAAGGTCAGGAAAACAAATCAATATGGAAAAGGACCTCCTGCCCCTTTTAACCTAACCTATAGGAGAGAGGGAAGGGAAATTGTCAATTACATGAAGGTGGACTTTAAATATACTTGAAAAAAGCACAGTGGAAGTGAGAGTTTGGAAGGACAGGTGTCAACAAGACCTATCTCTGCAGTTACAGGGTGCCTTTATGAACTCACAGTCTTCTCCTCTCTGACAGTATATACAGGCAGATCCACAGAGCTAAAACACACTCCATGGAGAGGCAGTGTAACAGGGAATGGCCCTCTCATTTCAGCATTACTGACTGCGAAGGTCTCTGAAAGGGAGGCGCTGGGAGCTGGACTGAGACTCTGCCCCAGTGGTTTGAGGGCTAGCAAATGCTGACTGCTATCTTTTACTGCCTGGGTTTGCTTCGCTACTTTCTGGTCACCACTATCTTATTTCCAATCCTCAAGGTGACCTGCTGCTTATTCTGCAGACAACCCCTGTGCACATTGCAGAACAGCAGGAAGCAGGAGAGAGGCTCCATATCTGCATAGCAACTAGATTTCTGCTGCACCATCACTGGTGCAGTGAGGCCTATAATGGAGTTTTTGTCTAAACTCGAGCCTGAATACTACAGACAAGTTTACTAATCATGGCCTCTGTTTCCAACATCCAGCCTCAAACATTCAGCTGAGAGTCTTCCATTAGGAGAACAGTTCCATAACCTCCTTGGCAGTTAGTGGAGAGGAGATAGTGTCTTATGTTAGATGCTAAAAATTCAGGCCTTAACCACTTAAATTATTTCAGCCTTTAAACATCTGCCTTTGAATTTAGACTTGATTGATCTGTCAGGTCCAAGATCCTTGAACACCCAGCTAAGGCACCCCTCAGCCTCATCCCAGATGTTTAAGAATAACTTTTCACTTACTCCTTATTTGGCAAATACCACAGTGTGGAAAAGGGGCTAATTGCTCTGTCCTCCTTCCAGCATCAAGGTCAGCAAATAGAGAATCACAGAGAGCAAAGCGACCCACCCCTTTAAAGCACAGAGTTGGAGTTTTAAACAGCAGCCATCCGACCTGAATAAGCAGTAACATTTTTTGCACAGATATCAGTGGAAGGGTTCTGCATCCCTTCCCCCACCCACTAGCTGTCTGCTTCATTTCTATTCTCTCTTTCATGTTACATTTTTCTTACTGAATCAGCAGTAGCGATCAAACCCTTCTTTCTTGCATATGTCTACACAAATAACCCTCTTTCAGGGGAAAACAACAGTACCCATGTGTCTCAGAAAGCTCAGCGTTTGTGCTGCTGAGTGTAGGATGGTGGTGCTCCTACTGAACACTGGTATAGAGTGTCAGTTACCAGAGAAGAGAGACAGAAGCAGGGGACAGAAACAATGATGTATTTTACCTCTTTCTGAAGTAATCTGTTTTTCTACTGAAACTACTTCATTAAAAGCTTTTTAAGAATAATGTTCATACTTTGTTTGTAGTAAAAGCCTTCTGCAAAAACCAACTGTTAGAAAAAGAATGTTCTTTTGCAGATGCTAAAAGCTGAAGCCCATGTGGTAGATGTTTTTCAGTCTTCGCTTTTCTTCCTGCTTTCTGCCCTGCACCAATCCTTTACACTTTGGGCCCATTACAGCTCTTCAACTGACTGCACAATGCTGATGGCAGAGCCAGGGTGAAGATAGACCATGCTGGTACGAAGGTGAAGATACACCTTCCATTTTGAAATGTCTCGTGGATAAGCTGTTAACATCTGCTGTAAGTTTGCTGTGCCTCTGGGTACAGTTTTCATACAAAGATCAAACTCTAGGACTCGAAAAACCAAAACCAAGCAAGGTTTTGAGGTTGTTGGGTGAAATTTTTATACTGAAATGCTCTGTGTTGTCAGAAAAGTGAGCCTAAGATTTATATCCTCAGAAATGAAAACTGAAATTGGTCCATTAGTCTGAGCAGAGAACAATTTACCTGCAAATGCCTTTACTCTAAATGAGAACACGGACACTTTACTGGGCAGAAGTAATAGACTTTGAGATAAGATGGGACCATGAGTCTGGCTTCCTGTGCAGCTCCAGGCAGCTCTGCTTCTCTTTCAGGTCTTTGGAAGGCTTCAAAAGGCTGATAATAAAGAATTATTAACATGAAGGCCCCTTACATTGCTGGACCGTAGACACCTTAATAAGCCCTCACTATAGAGGGGGGCCAGATTTTTATCCCAGTGGTGTAGACCTGTAGCAGTGGATTTTAGAGAATTTTAGTGAAATTCCTCTAGAAAAATCCATGTGTAATGGAAATGAAACATTTTTAAAGCAATATATTTTTCTACTGGTTAGCTGCCCCATCCTTCAGCCTATAAAATTGTTTGCGATTCTCAAGTTGGTTTGATATGGCTGGGCAGAAAGACATCTAATTAATCACTATTCACATTGTTACAGGAATTTCCTTCTTGCAGTCTGATGTACCTCAGAAAATGACACTGAACAGCTCAGAATATCTCTGAGGTGACGGTATGGTCACCCATCTGTATCTCGCCTGGGAGCATTTTGCAGACCTTTTGAGGCTTAGTTGCTCAAAACATCTTAAAATTATGTTTCACATGAACTTGTGCTCATCTTTATCTCTCAGTGGAGACAGCAGTGCTGAAGCAGTAATCCCCCCTGGGACTCCCTACCTAATGTATTCTCTAAGTGATCAAGACATTTTGCTTACCTTCTCATCCACGAAAAGAGAAGTATGTGTCTTACTAAGATTTGAACAATGAAAATCAGAGCAAAGGGCTGTAATGAAAAAGACTGATGAAGAAAAGCCCAGGTAATTAACATGTAAAAGTTAATTATTGCAGGCATTACATGTGGACTGATCTGTTTTATCCACACACAAGCTTGGCTGTTTGCTGGAATATGGCAGGGTACACTGAGCACCATGGGCTTACTCAGCATGCTTCACACCACAGCTATGCATTCATTCTGATGATCAGATAACTCCCATCACTCCATGATGTACTGTGTGCTGAAGTCCTTGTGCTATGCTACAGACCTGAGCATCCCACCGCTGAACTATAATAGCAATGATGAAAAATCATCTTCTTAGGGAAATGATCCTCTCCCTGTACTTGGCACTGGTGAGGCCACACCTCAAATACTGTGTACAGTTTTGGACCCCTCACTACAAGAAAGACATTGAGATACTGGAGTGTATCCAGAGAAGGGCAATGAAGCTGATGAAGGGTCTGGAGCACAAGTTTAATGAGGACTGATTGAGGGAGCTGGGATTGTTCAGCCTGGAGGGAGGAAGGCTCAAGAGGGCCCTTATCGCTCTCTGCAAATATCTGAAGGGAGGTTGTAGCAAGATGGGGGTCAGTCTCTTCTTCCAAGTAACAATCTACTGGACAAGAGAAAATGGCCACAAGTTGTGCCAGGGGAAGTTTAGATTGGATATTAGGAAAAATTTCTTCATGGAAAGGGTTGTCAAGCATTGGAACAGGCTGCCCAGGGAAGTGATTGAGTCATCATCCCTGCAGGTATTTAAAAGATGTGTGGATGTGGTGATTATGAACATGGTGGACTTGATAGTGTTAGGTTAATGGTTGGACTCAATGATCTTAGAGGTCTTCTCCAATCTAAATGGTTTGATGAGTCATCTTTCCCCTTCTGCTATTTTAACTCTGACTCTGCTGAAAATTTGGCACCATATTCCAGAAGCTAATCAAGGCCTTGTCTACTGTACTTTACTTGCAATTTCCCTTTAGAAAAAAGCTGTCAAGAGCAACCTGCCAGGGAAGACATTGTAATATTATGCTGAAAGCACATGCAAGGTGAGCCTGTAGAATTGAGATTCTGATAGCTTGTGTTTTTGATTTAAGGCTTTAGCTTAAGCCACCAACAGTATATTCTTTGTATATGTGTGTGTGCATAATATAATTGTGTTTTTACTGCCCACAAATTCACACATAAAATTAGACAGAGCAATCTGTCACTGCCGGTAAATTTGGATTCAGGAAACAGATGTACCTGTATCTCGCAATGTCCTCAGATCTGTAAAAGAGAGAAATTGCAAAGATCCAGAAGAGAAAATACTTAAAAAGTGGATCTCCATTATTTCCAAAGAAGGCATGAACAAATATAGACATTTACTCTGCAATTCTACATGGTAGTTTCTAATCTGCAGTATAATTGCACTTGCTCATATCATAACAAAGAATCCTGAAAATTTTATATGTGGTCAGCAAACCTCAGCCATCTTCTTCTGTGAAATCCTTGGAACAGTCAGACCCATGTGGCACTACCATGCCTTTGGGTTAGACTCCTCCTTCACAGAGCAGAAATGACAAAGATCTGGGTAGCTTACTGGAGCCTTTCATGGGTGACTGGACTTCTAAATTCCTAAAAACACCGAAGGTTTCGAAAACAAATCTAGTCATTGCTGATACACTTGTCCATGCATGGCCATGTATTTGCTAACATAGGAGAGGTAAACTATGATCTCTTTGAGAGGTAAAGTGAGACCTCTTTTTGGAACCCCCTTTCTCTGGCAGACTTTTGGGGTACAGTTATGTCAGGATGTAGATTTGAGTCACCCCTGGTTTGAGGTTTAATTTTGCAAAAGACAAATCTCCCACTCAAACTTTCTGAAGAGCATCTTCCAGGTGCTACCTCAAGCTAGATCTCCCCTTGTGCTGTCAGGGGTGAGAGCAGCAACAATGAGCTAAGGGAACCTCTATAACCTTATGACTGCCATCATGCTGAGTGATCTTGTGCTTCAGTCCTGCATTGAGCAGTAGGGGGAGAAAACTGGGGGAGGCTGCAGGCTGGAGCAACCAGAGATCCATCAACTCTGACGCTAAATTTTCACTTACGGCTAAGCTAGTGCCCTTGGAAAATGCTAAAATCTCAAAAGGTAATGCAGAACAGCACTCACCTTCTCTAATATGTGAGCAATGTCGAGTACCATCTGCATTCTCACTCTGCATTAATAGTAGTAGTAGTAGTAGTAGTAATAATAAGAAAAACAATAACAACAACAATAATTATAATAATGCATTGCAAACTCAGTTATGTCCTTCATTATGAGTTAGAACTACAATAAGCAACATCTGGTTTTTGTGTTTTTCCTGTTTTGGGTTTCCAAGGGCTGTTTGTAAGTCTTCCTGAGGCAGTAGCTTGAATCCCTGAGAGGAGAAATTGTCTTTCCTTTTTCTGAAGCAACCTCTCTAACTAATCCAAGACCTCATCTAAAGTAGTGCTTGGATTATCTTCTGGATGGTTGAGAGTTGGTAAAAAGTAGCAAGGAGTGGAGGAGGCTCTGAAAAAGTCAATTCCAACACTGTGAGTTGTTTCATTGTGGTCATAGGGCTTTATCCCACTGGAAGGGCCAGAGCCTGACAGTGGAGAGGCTGTGTCACTCCAAATTATACCACAGATGCCTCTGCTATCATTACTCCCTATAACTGGTGTCATAGCACGGCCTTGTTGCTAAGTTTTCCTCCTTCTTTTATTATATAGGCCTCTTTCTATCTGCAGGCAAGTCAGGCAGTGAGCTTTTCAGTGATGACAGCAGGCAACAGTATTTACTGAAGAGACTAGAACTGTCAGCTTGGGAAAACATGGGAAGACTGAAGGAAAAAGGAGGCCAGTCCCACTACCTGCCTCAGCTTCACTCAGGCTGAGCTGAGCCTACCAAAATCTTGGAGGTACGAGTGGATCACAGGGACACTGAAGAAAGCAGGCCTGAAGAAATCTGGGAGGGATTAAGAGAGTAAGTCTGTGTATGGTCACCTATCAGTATTAGCGCCTAACTCTAGAAACTGAGGCCAAATGCATGGGAATTAAGTGCTAGTGGGATTAAGTTTGGGCTTGCACACTCCAGCCAGCACTGACAGGAGTGACCACGGAAACAACCAGCAGAGCTCTGCTGCACAGGATGTCCAAGGCAAGGCAGCCTGGCACTCTTGCCAGCAAGAGGTGATGGAGCCAGAGCGTGTCACCACCAGAGTTGTTGACCTGGCACAGCCTGGTTCCTAGAGGGAGTCCGCTTTCATCGGCAACCCAGGAGTGCTCACTCACTGGTCGTCTGTCAGGAGCTGTGAAGAATTTGGAGCTGGATACACGTGGAGTGATTTGAAGCATCTCAAATGCTGCTCTGGGTTTTTCAGCAGAGAAAACACTGCTACAAAAGTCAGTGTTGGTTCCATACATAACTCAGCACTGGAAGAAATCCCAGCAGTTTTGCTGGTCAGTGATTTCTTCAGGGCTGGGAAAAAAGCTTGAGTTAGGCTTAGAGGTTTTGTTTTTCAGCTATAACCTTGATTTGCTCTGACTTCATATGAACAACAAAATCTGTTATGTGTCTCTCTTTATAACCCACCTGCTTGGTGGAGAGTCAGACAATCAGTGCCATACAACCTTTGAGGAAAAAAAATTAGGTTTGTAAATGAAACTGCTTTGATGGCCTGGTTATTGTACATTTCACTTAATTTTGGTATCCCCCTTCTTGAAATCTGAACACACACTTTGAAATAATCATGGTGATTCTGGCTTTTAAAATACCTGCTGGTAATTTTATTGACAATGCAAATTCCCTGATCTCAGTTAAGTTCAGACTTCAGCAGTTGCTTTTCAATCACACCAGCAAATGCAGAAGCAGAATGGGATCCTGATAATCAAAATCCCTGGAAGGCATTCCTTGCCCTCCATGACTTAAGAGAAGGCTGTAAACACTGCATCCAAAACTCCTTGTTATGCTGGCTCAGAAAGTATGGGGTGTGAAACCATTAATTTTCAACTGTGGCACTGAGGACTAAATTTTACTCTGACACTGGAAAAATGATGCAACTCTGGATTTACATGGGTGAGGTTACATTCTGTCTGAGATTTTTGTAGTTGAATAAATTGGGGAAGAGGTTGGAATAATTACTTTTGAGGGGAATGGGATCAGCTCACCCCTTTAGGCTGAAATTTGGGCTGAGACTAAAAGGTACAGTGATCGATTCCTGATACTGCAGAATAATCTAAGCAGACGAGATGTCCTCCTCATTTCTGGACCACATAGAAAAGAAAAAAATAAAGGCAGCTCCCAAGAACACTACTTTTAGCCTAAACTTTGCCAGTTCCTCAAAAAAGACGAAGTGATATAGTAAATTTCTTTGGGAAAGAGGAAAGGACTGTAGTGAATTACACTGTTTTCCAGCCCCTGGATGTACTCAGGCTGAGGTTCCTGGAACACTTGGGTTATGGCATTTCAGCAATCAAATAATATCATCACAATGACAGGCCTCTTATCATGCACAAGGTATGTGTGTTGTCTGCATAAACACACTTATCATGTGTCTCACAATAGATGCTGGTGCAGGGGTGCCAGGTTCCATCCATAACAGTAAGGCAATATTAATCCCACAAAAGATCTTACACGAACCCTACAAGTCAGTCAAAACTGGTTTTGCATGGAGAAGCTGCTACTTGTTTTGTTTGACTTGTTTGGGTTTTGTTTTTAATTTTAATTCATATTCCTGTTCCAACATGACTTGCAGAAGTTGCCTAGAAACCATCTCGCGTCAGCTCACTCATCCAGGACACACAGCTCCCCATATGCAGGCAAAGAGATAAGCTTAACTTCCTTAATTATTAAAGGAATGCAATTAACTCCCTACCTTCCCACTCCCATGGATGTGATATCTGAGAACTCAGGGCAAAAAACCCAACATCACTGAGGCAGAAAAGTCTGACACATGTATTGCGTGGGGAGTTGTGGATGGAGAAGGTCGTCTTGAGGTGGCGGCAGAATCAGAGGCATACTTGCCCCCAGTAGAAGGTCCAACAGGCTTCCAGTGGCCCCTTCCCTGCTTCTGTTGACACAAAGCAACCATAGATTTCCACTGAGCTTTACACTTTGGCCTCCCTGCTTGTGAAAATTCCAGTTATTTCCATTGCTGTGTATCCTGTCCAAAATCATCTCTCGGTTCTCCCTACATCCCATAGTAGTTGTGACTCACTGCTCTTCTGAAGCCAGTATGAGGGGTACATGTTAGGCAGTCAGAAAATTGATGTGGTTTCATATATTCTTCCAGAATAAAATCACTTTACATATGATAAATCCAGAGAAGCTGGTAGCACTAAGCACAAATCTAATGGTAGAGACATCCTGTGCAAGTAGAGCTTGGAAAATAAAGGGCTTGTCTGGGCACCAGCTGGCCTAGAAGAATTTGGGTTTTGAATAAAAACCCAGGGGTTTTATTAGGCTCTCCAAGAAAATACAAAACCAGAAAAATAATTTTGGGTTGACCTGTAGCACTTTATTTGAAAAATATTTATTTTGGGGTGCCTAGCCTTTTCACTTGTAACTTGGGATGCTTTACAAACGAAAAATACCATCTCAGAAACAAGTGTTGAAAGGAATTAAATACTTCTCAAGTTGAAAATGAGTGTTTCAACACAGAAAAAAAAAAAAAAAGACTCCTTTTGTGGGACTTGAAACAATTAAATATGGATTGGACTTCCCAACGCTTCTGGTCTTGCCAAAACTGCACTTTCTGGCAAAGTTTGCTATGCCTTGGCCATTTTTTATGTGTATGCAGATAATAAGTTTTAAGGACAAGTGTGAACACCTGCACAATAGGAGGACCTGTATTGCAACTTCCAAATGTAGTTCACTGACAAATTTAACCCGTTTCCCCTCGCTCTTTCCTCTCTCTCTTAGCGCCTCTCTCCTGCTGATGCTGCCTTTTTGATGGGGTGCTTTAACCTATTCCCCATGCAATGGGTTTTCCCACCAGCATTTTCTGGGGCTGATAGGAGATGTGGCTATTCAGCTCCAGAGGCCACACTGGGATGTGACTTGTATGAAGGAGGCTAGTAAAAAACCCCCTAAAACTACACCAAACTGCACTGCTGATGTGGTGGAGGTGGACAGGGATGGAGACCTGAGCTCCTCAGGATCAGCGCTCACTTTGCCTGGAGGGAGGCAGGGGAGAGCCCCTTGCTCACTGTTCAGGTGATGAAGGCAAGAGCCTTCAAGTTGACACCTAGCCAGAGTGGTCCAACACTGCTCAAAGAAACAACCTTCTGGTGTAAATGGCTATTGACCAACTGTCCGACTTCAAGGTTTTAAGCCAGCTTCTCTGCTTGCCAGGCAGGAGTCTGGATCTGTTAGCACCAGGATGGTATGTAAAGCTTTCATTTAGAGATGCTGATGGACGTGTCATGGCTGAGGATTTCTGAAAGCCTTGGGAGCTTGACTGGTTTGGAGTGGAAAGGATGAGTGCCTGGGTGTGCTATGGATTGTTTATCTGAGTTCTGATCCTATGTTCCTGGGCATTTTATCAAGGTCAGGAGGAAGGGTGACTAAGGTAGCTTTAATCATTAGGTCTTAGTATTTATCTATGACTCTCAGAAACCATAGGTAGATTTTGACCACTGCAAGTTAACAATTTTCACTTGGTTCTCCATGTGCACCCAAAATGGAAAGGGCTGGCTCTCACCAATTCCGGAGTTCATGGGAATCCCTTCACCAGAGAGAAAGTCTTTCTCAACAAATGCTCCAGGGAACACATTGTAGTGGGCTCTCTGGGTAAGTTGGAAGAAATGTAAGGGATCATTTGTTTACACCTTCCGCTCCTCTGAGAGTGATAATGAGCTATATGAGTACGTGGCTGAGGCATCTGAGTCTTTATTTGTGGCTACTGATTGTTCCCACCTTTCACAGGGTGACACATGAGCTCTAGAGAGACACGTGGGATTTATTGGAATGGTAGGGGTCAGGCAGCAAGACAAAGCTGATGGAATGAGGGATGCTAAATCTCCTTACAGATTTAACTGCACACATTGCTCTTGGTAACCCAAGCCATTCTGTAAGTCTTGAACAAGGACCTAAGGAAATATTTCTAATAAAGCAACTAATTTCCTGGAAATTAGAGCACATCACAAGCTTTTATCTGAAATTGTGCAGAATATCATTGTTCTGATGATCTAACAGACTGAAGACAACTTTTAATTGCAGTGGCAATGGCACTGTTATCAATGAAAAAATGCTCAGTTCCTCTGACCTCAAGGAATTCAGAGTCTTTTAAGGTGGAGTGTTTATTTCAGCAATTCAAGGATGAAAAGCATACTAGGGAACATTTGAAAGAAATCTTTGTATGTTGCTGCAAAAAAGATACAGGTTAAACCTGCTGAAAAATCCTAACTCTGTCCTGCAAGGGAAATTTAGTTTGTAAGAAAAAAGTTGATCTGGAGCAGTAAAAGCTCAAGACTTTTATGTTAGTGTGGCTCCAGTGTAAGCATATGGTGGCCTCTGTTACAGCCAGCAGAAGGGAGGTTGTGCTACCTTTAGGGATTAGACAACATTTGAAAGTCATGTAATGTGTTTTTTAGCATAAACACAGCAACACTTTAGGAATCCCCTAACCCTCAAGTCAATGCAATGAGTTGCAAATTTTCTCTATTTCACCTGCATGGCCAGTTATTTCTAGTGTGCTTGCTTCAGACAGTGAATTTGGCAGCAAAGCAGAGCAATGTGAAAAGAGGGTCCATTTGGCTCAAAACTGTTTTGTCTTGGTGGGAATCGCAAGCACACCTTGGTAACTTAAGCAAGATACAAGCAAGGTGTTCTGTTTATTTTTCTTAAATAACTCTCAAGTTAGTGCAGATCAATAAGGTAAGCTGCCTCTGGAGAAAGCTGTTTTAAGGTAAGTTAGAAGGGATGAACTGCCTCTTGGAAGCGTCATGTTCTCCTCCCATTCCTCCTAAAGAAAATTTTGGCAGTTAATTTAGACTGGGTACAAATAGAGCTAATAATCCACAAGGGACTAAGTGGCCTTGGATTACCACAGTGCTCTG